TCAGGAATTCTAGCAAGGGCTACAAGAGCTTCCCCTTGGAGAGTCATTCAAGCCATCTTGCCTTTATTCTCTCCATGGATCAGGTATGACTTGCAGTCTGGTAACCTTATCAAATTTTGGGAACAAGTTTGGGTTGGGGACTCTCCTCTGAAAGATCAATTTCTAGGCCTTTTTGCTTTGTCCTCCCTCAAGAATGAACTAATTTCTTCCTTTATTGTTCCTTCTAATTCACCCTCTAGGTTTGGTTGGAATCTAAGCTTGAGAAGAGGTGTTAGGGACACAGAGTTTGCCTGTACCATAGCCTTACTTTCTATCCTTGAAGGGGTCTTTATTGAGCCATCTAAAGAAGATAGCAAAATCTAGACACTCACTCCCTCGGGCTCCTATACTTGTGCCTCCTTTTTCAAAGCACTGTTACCCTCTCATCCTACTAGCTATTCTTTCCCTATTAAAGAAGTGTGGTGTCGACCTATACCTCCTAAGGTTGGGAGTTTTTGTTGGGAAGCCTTCCTGGGAAGAGTTAATACAAGGGATCTACTCCAAAGGAAAAGACCCAACAGTTGCTTGTCTCCTCATTGGTGTGTTCTCTATAAGTCTGACGGTGAGTCCGAATATCACTTGCTAATTTCTTGTCGGTTTGTTAAAGCTATTTGGGTATGGTTTACTTCTTTGTTTGGATGCAGGTGGACCCCCCCCTCCCCCCCCCTTTGAATGTTCCAAGCTTGTTTTCTTCCATGCCTAATTGGCCAACTAAAAGGGCTAAAATCATGTGGAGGTGTGGTAGAGCTGCAGTCTGTTGGACAGTGTGGGAGGAGAGGAACTCAACGATCTTCTCAAGTAAAGAGAGTGGTGTGGAAGAAATTATAGAGAGCATTCACATTGGAATGACACAATGGTTGAGAACACTGGAGCTGTTCAAAGTGTTCTCAGTTGATGAGCTGTTAAGGAATTGGAAGGAGATTGCAGATTCAGGCTTATATAGAAAGTTATCAAAAGYTTGCTGGAGCCCTCCACCTATTGAATTCACCAAACTGAATTTTGATGGTAGCAGCATAGGCAACCCAGGGCCTTCTGGAATTGGAAGTGTGATAAGGGATGGAACAGGAAACTTGTTAGCCATGTACTCTCGGCCAATTGGGGTGGGAGACTCATTGAGGGCTGAGATTCTTGGAGCTATTAAAGGGATTCAAAGGGACAAGGAAATGAAGATCAAAACGGTGGTTATAGAAGGTGATTCTGCCATGGTGGTGAAATGGCTAACAGAGGACAGTGCTATGATGTGGAAATACAGCAATGAAAAGAGGAAATATAAATGGTTAACCAGGGACATGGAAATTCAATGTAATTGGATTAATAGAAGTGCAAATGCATTGGTTGACGGTCTAGCTAGGCAAGGGGTAAATAGAGACACATTATTCTGGGCTGTTTTGTAATCACTACAAGATCAGAAAGTTCTTGGGTAACTGGAGTTAAGACTTTTTAGCTCCATCCCATTGTAATCTTGTTTTTATCATTAATAAAATTTCACTGTTACTGATAAAAAAAATTCCACTAACATTGATATTTTAAACCTTGATTGGGATGACTTCGGTAAGGCCCTTACAACCAGATCATCAAACCAGTGTAGTTAAGGTGGGTGGGTAACACCCAAGTAGTTTTGAATAGGATTTGTAGAGAGACTGGGACGAATGGGCCCTAGTACTTGTCTTTTATTAAGCAATGTTTGTTTATGTTTTATTATGTTAATGGGCCTTTTTCTCTATGGGCCTGTTAACTTCTTTTTTGTTTCTTTTAAGTGATTGATGAGCAGACCACCCACTTAAGGACAGAGTTGTA